GGCAGCGACCCCGCGGCAACGCGCTCGGGGGAGACCCCGCACCCGCTCGGGCCTTCCCCAGAGCCAGCGCCCCAACGGCGGGCTGTCCCACGCCTCTTCTACCCCAAGCCCAGGGGTCGGGGCTTTCCCCAGCGCCTCTGAAATACTGGTCGGTCGGTGATGAACAGAATACAGCCCACAGCACGCTCTACTCCTCCGCACGCGCAGGGGAAGGGGCTTAACCTGGGAGGGGGCCTTTTGACCCGTGGCGGGGTCTCAGTCTCACAAGGAAGGTCGTTCCGTGTCGGGACACCCAAAGGCAGTTCCACCGCCGCGGTCGGTCACCCCAGCCATCCACTGTTGCCTGTCCGGCTCCTCCACCTTCAACCTGAACGGGATCTTGGATTATTAAAAGAAATGTTGAAAGGTCAGAGGTCGGCTTTGTCAGGAACACCGTAGAGCCGAATGACCAGCTGTTAGGAACAAACGATTAACCTTGAAACAACCCACCAGGACATATGCACCACAGGAAGCAGGAGTCGAGGTAGGATTCATGGGAAGTGGAGACAGCGAGCTGCCACCACCTGCCTGATGTCTGCCAAATTATGGGGAAACTGTCAAAGGTAATTCCAGCAGTGGGAGATGGTGACCACTGACTGCAATTACAGCCCAGGCTCAAAAGAAGGCATGTGCTGCTTCACAGGCCAAGCACAGAGATTATGACCGATCACTTGGTGGATTCGTACCAGCATGCTGAGTATGTAAAAATTTTATCTGTAAATAATTGTAGGTTTTGGGACCACGGTGTGGGATTTTGGGACAGGCACCCGTGCACACGCATCCACATAACAAAGGAAATAGCCTCCATCCTGTGTGTGCGCCGGGCGCCTGCAGGCTGGGTGACCACCCCTCGTTTCTGGGGACAGTTCTTCACCTTCGCCGTGGCCGCCAGCAGGGCCCCAGCGCCGCCACTCACAGCTCACCCCGCCGAGGGAGCAGATCGGAACGGCCCCGGCGAAGGCAGCATCGCCCGAGGCCGAGCGCTCGCAGTGCCTGGCCTCAGGGCTGCAGAGGCCAGGACAGACGGACAGGCCGGGACGCACGGACGTGGCTGGACAAGGCGTGTGCCCTGCCAGGCTCCGTTCCGGGTGGGCAGAGGCATGGCTTGCTCACATGCACTTTATTCCTTTGAAACTGCCTGGAGAGAAGAGGAAAAAAAAAATAAAAAATCATGTGCTTTACAGAAACAAAATTCTGGGCAGTTTCACTGCTGCTGCTACAAACGGCAAAAGCGAGAGTGGCGAGAAGCCGCTGCCAGGCTCTGGGAAGCTCTGCCAGACCTCTGCCCTTTCTGCTGCCGCTAAGATCAGCTACAAACGGTTTTGTTTGAGCAGGCTGAGAGGATGATCCCCAGTTCTTCCTCAATGGCATATTCAAGCTGCCAACCCTTCAACCCAGGCTGCCAAATGACCTTTTGGAAGAGAATTTTAATCCAGCTTTCCTTGCGTTAGATCCAAATATTTGCTGCCTAAATCGCGTATGTCTGTCATTACTGTACATTATTTACATTAGAAATGCCAACTTGCAAAGCTTAAGAGCTGATACGTTGCCCATCACTGCAGCATCTAAACTCTCTTTAACTGAGATAACAAAGTTGTGCTCTGCTGCGCTACTTTCTTTACCTTGTAAAGTTTCTCCACCAATCCAATTGTTCAATTTTTAGAAAGTTCTCTGCTGCTTTGGCAGCCCTGGTCTGGTAGGAGGAAGGTGGAACCGTGCTCCCACCTCTGAGAAGAAATTTGTGTATCCTCTTAACACCGAGGGCGAGCTCAGAACAAAGCGTCACTTCTTAAACAGGCATCCCAGTCATTTAAGACCTGAGCAGAGCTTTTGTTTTCCAAGTGCTCTTTGCTGCTTTCTGGAAGGAATGAACCCATGCAAACGGCCGGCCGTGTAGGTTTAACAACCGAAACGTGTGTTTGCAGGAGAAGAAGGGAAGGGCAGCTGCAGCCGTAAGGCCACCTGAGATCAGAGTAAAGCTCGACTCTTTGGGATCGTCTTTCTTGTGCAGGAATGTCACACTGGGACACTGCTGTGCCCGGACACTGACCTGCAGTGCTGATGGGAACTTTGGTCTGGCAACCAAAACCAAAACGACAGCGATACCACAAAACATCAAGGCTTGGCGCAGAGCTAGGAGGGGCAAACTCTGCAGTTGTTCCAGATGCCTTTGCAGGGAAGGGCGGCATGGAGGAAAACTGGTGAAGTTTAATTGGATTTATCAAGTATTAACAACTTCACCAGGCCTTCACCGCCCTCTGCAGAGCTCGGGCTGTAATTTCAGACCACACCTGAACTGCTAAACCAAAATAAACCTGGAAGTGCTCTTCAGAGCAGCCTGTGGGCAGCGGGGCTCAGCATCACACGAGAGAATCACAGAATCATCGGGGTTGGAAAAGATCACCCAGTTCAACCGTGAACCTCACACTGACCGTTAAAAAGATGCTCCACCGTGTGCTCGGCAGAAGCCATCCGGGACTGCAGCCGTTCGCTCCTTCGCAGTTCCACTCTGACAACGCCAGTGAAATCTGCTCTGGGATCTTCCTCCTGAACACCCCCCATCATCAGCGTCTGCCCGCGCAGGAGGTTCTGCAGCACGAGCAGAGCCGGGGGCACGGTGCAGGGGTGAGGGGAGGAGGGCAACCTCCTTCCTGGGGCTCGCTGGCGGTGAAAAACAGCGGGAAATGCCCCGAGAGCACCGTTACCCAGCGAGGGGGCTCCGCGGGGCCCCAGCAGTCCTGAGGCCAGAGCACCACCACAGACACTCAGGCCCGGGCTGCGGGTCGTCCCGGGCTGCCCTCAGCCCTCCCGCCCGCTCCACACACCTTGCTGCTCCCCAGACTCCTCCTTGCGGAGCGCTGAGGGAAGCTCTTCCCTCCATCCCCAAGGCTCCCCAGCTGCGAGGGGAGCTGCTGCCTCTCCCCAGCCCCAGCTGCTGTCAGTCGCCTTCCGTGCCAGAGATCTCTGGAGACCTGAGGCAGCCATCTCCCTCGGGGGGCAGCTGCAGCACGGGGGGAGTGCAGCCTCAGCAGCCAGCTGGGCTCAGAAAAGGTTTTTCCCATCAGTGGAACAGAACTAAGCCACTGCCGGGCCTGCTCACCATCACCACAAGCAGCGACGAGGGAAGCTGGGCCTTGGGGGAAGAGGTTTGAGGCAACAACCCAGGGCTCAACCCTGCTCCAGCCCCACCAAGACAGGCCCCAGGGCTGCAGCCTGCTCTGGGGGGCAGCCTGAGGTCTGCCCCTTGACCCCCAGCCCCTACAGCCTGAGCAGACACCACCACAACTGGGACACCTTTATTAAAAAAAGTATGGAGATTTTAACCATTTCATTGCACCCCTGCCCTGAGCAAACACAACATTTACATTAGGATGGGGGTGAGCGGGGGCCCAGGGCAGGGCCGGGGCAGGGGGGCTGCCTTCCCTCACTCAAGTTTCAGCCTCTGGCGGTTCTCCCAGAGCCAGGTGTGGTACACGCTCAGCTTGTGGTCCTGCGGCTGCACCTAAACACAGCAAAAGCGTTTAGTGTTTATTAAAGCACCTTCTCACACAATGCTGCCCTGGCCTATTTCCCCCTCCCAGCTGCGCAGGGAGCAGCGAAAGGCCGTGCCTCTACCTACAGCAACCAAAGGGACAGGGGGTCATCCCAAAACCACCCACCCCCCAGGAATCCAGAGAGCAGAACAGCCCCTCGCTGCCACCGCCATCCCGGCACGGCCAAGGCCCCACCAACACCAGTGACAGAGGGATGCTGGGATCTGGCCAGCGGGGAACAGGGAACCTGGTCCTAAACCAGAGCAGGGAAAAGGCTCTCACCCCCACAAGGAAGCAAGAAAAACACCGTGAAAAGTGGAAAAAAAAAAAATCACAGAAGGTGACAAGTCTTGATTTACAGGTTCAGACTTGTAAAAGGTACATCCCGAGAATCCAACCTACTGAAGATGGAAGAAGTGCTATCCTGTTCTTTTAATCCGAGGGAGCCCCCAGGCACAATCCCAGGGACGCCCAAGGCCGGAGCGGCCGCAGCACCCACCTCCTTCCACTCGTTGACACAGAAGATCCTGTAGGAGTCGTTCCCGTACTTGCCGATGCCGTGCAGCTCGATCGGGTACCTCCAGCACTTGCCCAGGTACTCACCTGCAACAGGCACACGGCTCACCGCCCGCAGAGCCACCCCCGACAAACCCCACTCGTCTGCTACGGCAACACGGCTCTGCTTTGGAGCATTTTAAGTGGAAAACACAGGTTCCAGCTGTTTCCTGGTGATAGTAGGTGATGAATCCCTATGGGGTGTGTACTAAACACCTTTTCAACAACTCACTCTGGGTGAGTTTTAATTACACCTCTCTCCTCAGAGCCCACAGAGGAATACTTTAATTCTAAGTACAGAAAATACCAGAATCATAGAAAAATTCAGCTTGGAAGGGCCTCCAGGAGGTCACCTGATGCAAACCACAGCAGAGCCACCTTATCATAGTGCTGCAGAACACAAGAATCAGCCCTGCAGGTGTCTGTATCTCTTCCCACTCAAAGTCTCCCAGACCATGGTCTCTGGCAGAACTCGCTATCTGTATGTTCTTTTATTCCCAATTAAGACAACAGGATCAACAGCTTTGCATATGTAAGACCCACATATCCCAACGCTGCATAAAACAAACCACTACCATTACTTGCCAAACAGAAGGAAAAGTCAGAGACTATAACAATGCTCTTTGTCTTGCTAGTATAATTTATACCCTTCACAGACACATCCAGGGAAACCTACCAGAGAACTTGATGATAGTTTTTGCTCTGAGTTCGTAGAGGCCGAGAGGTTTCAGCAGCTCTGACATCTCTTTCCAGTCTGCATCCCTGGCTATTTCAGGAGAGGGATACTTCTTAAGGAACTCCCAGAGCACAGGAATTGCCATTTTACCTAGTGAACGAAACCACTGTGAACCGGAGGCTGTGCAGGTAATTCTGTTTTGATTATCTATGTACACTTTTTGAAGTGAGCTTTTTCAGAGGCAAGAGTGACAAATGAAAGATTATTTTTGTTTACACTGACACAAATTAATACGCCTTTATTCTTTCATTAATGCCATTAAAACTGTCAGCTGTTCTGACCCTGCACCACCACCCCAACATTTACACCACATGAAATTGTATTACTCTATTTACCTGAAGTTTTATTGAGAAATATGGTTGCAATGAGAAGTTTCCATGGATCATGGAAAAGTGTTTCCTGGATCAGATTAAAAGGAGAACGTGGAGGAGTCCATTTTCTGAGGGCCTTCCTTCTAGGTGGGCTGGGAGCTGCACAGAGGCAATACAGGAAAAAATTATTGGGTAGTGAAGGATGGATTTGCCTATTTAAATGAAAACAATTTAAAAAAAGAGATCTTTTGAAGTAGATTCACCTTTGTGGGGGCACTATATGTGGATAGAGCAATGGCAACTCCCACAGAAATTTCAGAGAGCTGCAAGGGACTGCGTGTCCCCTGGCAGAGGCCGCAGTAAGAGCCCAGGCTGCCTGCTCGTGCCCCAGGTCCACGCTCCGTACGCTCCCGAGGGACAGCCCTGCCCCGCTCCTGCCACTCCCGGGGAGGCACAGAGCAGCCGCCGCAGGGCAGCGGGTTGCCCCCCACAGGGGAAACACCTCGGCACCTGCAGAGCTTCCCCAGAGCCCCTTCACCCACCACTCACAGCTGCCGAGGCTTTAACAGCCGCCTACAAGGCACCAACCACCCAGGTTCAAAATGGGACAAGACCAGCACTAGTGCAGTAAGCCGAGCTCTTCGACGCCACCTAAGCATGGCCAGCCGAAAACCAGAGGAGATTGCCCATAACAACAGTTGATCTTGACCCATCCCATTCCTTCCCCCATAAAAAACCCTAAAAGAATATTATACCTTCTTTACTGTATTTACTTGAAAAATATGGACTTGTCTTCCTCCGTTCCACTTGTGTTTGTGGGATACACTCCTCTGTAAAGAAATAATACTTCAGCATTAAAAAGAAAAAACCCAAGTACTTTGCTGTCATGTTTCAGACACCATTCCCACTTAATGTTGTGATGGAAATACAAGGATTTCTTGTAGGTGTACAGAACATAAACACGCTTTAGAGCCACCCCATTACTCCACTGTATTTCAACTCTATAAAAAAATCTTCAGAAGATAAACCATTACTTTGCCACAGTCTGAGGAAATAGGCTCAAACTACAACCAAGGATGAAGTGTTGTCTGCACAATCTAGCACATGAAACAAGCCAAAACTAGCCTTTTTCATGAATCAAGCTGACCAACCGTGCAACAACACTGAAAGAGTTAGTGCAGCGAAGGTACTGAACGTTATTGTATTGCGCTATACAGCTGGTGATGGCAGAGTAAGTTCCAGTTGTGAATAAATCGGCACTAAGTTAAATGCTGTTGGGTAAAGAAATGGGACAGATTCACCTGTCAAAGCAGCTTGACCTGAGGCAGAATACTGTGGTCATGGAGCCAGCAGAACCCCTGGCAGGACATTCAGGTCACACTCTGCTCAAAGCCACACGTGTACCTGGTGGCACTGTAACTCCTGCCAAGCTTGTCTGGTCACATAGTGCAAGACGTCAGCATCCATTTGTGTAAGGTTTAAAATCCTGGTTACCTGGACTCCCTCGATCTGTCTTTTCCCCAGTTTTCAGTCCGTGGGTTTTCTCCTCAGATTCCGGGGCAGGTGAGTCATTAGAGCCTGTCTCCACGCCCTCTGCCCAGCTCTCCAGCGTTCTCAAAGACCTTTGCCGTGCGTCTGAGCGGGACCTGGATGTGCTCAGCAGAGTCTTTCCCGCACCCTCAGGGTCTGTGTTCTGATCCCCTGCACCCTGGCTACCAGCGACACACGTCTCTGCCTGCCTACAGAGCTTCTTGCTTTGAACGCACTCCGTCTCCTGTTTGTTACATACTCTTCTCTGCCTTTTGTTTTGGGTATTCCCTCGATTCCTCTTTTCTGAGCTCCTTACAGTTTTCTTATTCTGAAAACTTTTTCCACCCACCCTCTTCCTTTTGGTTTTCAAACAGTCCTCTGGGTTTACGCCTTTCACGACCAAATCTTCACTTTCCAGAGCAGATGAAACATCTTCCAGGTGTTCATTTCCAGTCTGAATGTTCTGAACATCACCCTCTGCACCCTTTTGTCCACTGAAGTCTTGCACTTGACTGTGACAATCCCCATTCTCCAAAACAGTTCCTGCAGTTTTTGTGCCGGATCTTTTCACCCTCGGAGGGGTACTCCTCTGATGAGGAGCTGTGAAATCAAAGTTTTCTGCTTTTAGCGTGGTCTCACCAATTCTCTGCAAATACTTCACAAGTGAAATTTTTGATCTTAGCTTAACTCCTTCAGGACTGCAGTAGGAAAGAAAAGTAAATTAGTGAGGAATCCCTCATTTTCTTGCTCTTCCCTTAAAAAAAAATTCTCGTGTTTAGAAAAAGAAATGGTAAAAGCAGTTGACAGGGCTATGCCTAGACAAAATTCTGTGACCCGACCTGACCAAAAAAGCGCTCGCACGAAGCGCTTACAGAAAACCCTGCAGGAATGACAGCTGCCACCCCCGGAGCTCCGTGCAGGGCGCGCAGGACCGGGAGGAGACAAAGTGACGGGCCCGGAGGCGGCGGGCGCTCGGCCGCCCATCGCCGAGGGCTGTCCC